ATTTCTATGCATAACTCCATATTATGTATGTAACCCACATGTGTGACTATCAGCATTCCTGACCTGCGGGTGTCGCTGTTGGACAGTGTTATTCCTGCTTCCTGTTTGCAGTGCTGCTGGTTTGTGATTGTAGCTTCGTGTAGCTTTGTTTTTCTGTAAAATCTCTATTACTCTCTGTTGTTTAAAGTGATAAAATATAACTTAATTCCCACCATATTTCTGATATTATCTACCAACCTAATCTGATTAATTTGATCGTTCGCTTTTATTCTAAAACTGCGAGTGCAGCGCATCTGCAGCGCGTTAGCATTCGTTAGCTTGTCATTAGCGTTTCCATTCGTGCCTATTGCTTTTTAAAAAAATTTTTTTTTTTACACAAGTTCATCTAACAACTGTGGCGAGTAAGAATCATTCATCAATCATGGTGAGTAATGGCTTTTTCTTCTGCTGTTGTTGTTTACACCGCTTGCCACATGTATAGTTTATATCTCTCTGTCGGCGACGAGGGATTCTCATGTGATAAATGCAGGGAAATAGTTAGGCTGACAGAGAAGATTTCAGAATTAGAGACACGCATCCAAACTTTAATTGAGGACAGTAAGAATGTGAGGGCTCTAGATATGGCTTATCAGGAAACACGGTGTTAGCTTTCACTGTTATGCTGATGATACTCGTCTCTATATTTCTTCGGAGCCCGGCGAAACATACCAATTTGAAAAACTAGCGGAATGCATAGTCGATATAAAAAAAACTGGATGATGAGTAATTTCTTACTGCTAAATTCTGAACAAACAGGGGTGTTAATTATAGGACCTAAAATACTCTGCATATAATAACCTAGAACACTCTCTAAGACTTGATGGCTGCTCTGTCAATTCTTCGTCATCAGTTAGGAACCTAGGTGTGCTATTTGATAGCGATCTTTCGTTAGAAAGCCACGTTTCTAGCATTTGTAAAGCTGCATTTTTTCCATCTCAGATATATCTAAATTACGACCTATTCTCTCAATATCAAATGCAGAAATGTTAATCCATGCATTTATGACCTCAAGGTTAGATTATTGTAATGCTTTACTGGGTGGTTGTTCTGCACGCTTAATAAACAAACTCCAGCTGGTCCAAAATGCAGCAGCTAAAGAGCTTGCAGATTTAAATCTGTAGATTATGCTGAAAAAGTTGTAAAACTGCTGTTTGCTTATAATAATAATAATAATAATAATAATAATAATAAATAATGTCTGGTGTGGAAATGTAATCTAACTGGGTCTTTTAAGGTATTTGTTTTCTGTAAAGCGTGGTCCCTAAACTAAATAGTAGCAGTACAGAGTTCTGGCAACATCTGAAGACTGTCAGAACTTTTCATAGTGACTCGTGTATGTGGTGGGTAATTTTAGTTTTCCCCTGCCACCCACCCCCTGCTTATACCTGAAAGTACTTGTTTCTAAGTTGGATCAAAGCTGGATCTTCTAACTCTTTTTGGCCTTTTGGAAATGTGGAGAACTTTATCTTCACTGAACTCCGATTGAAACTCAACTTTGACTCCTGGTCTTCAGTGTGCATATTGGTTCAGTGCCACCTCTGCTCCTATACTACTAGGAGTATTACTTTGAAAGGAGACTTGTAAGAGGCAAACAGAAGGTGGTCAGTTGCCTGTTTGTATGTATTCACTGCCACTTAAGATATCAGATGTATAGGTGCACCCCAAACTTAGGAGTACAGATATCTGTAAGCAGCTGTAAGTCTTTTTAGCAATGTGCACAAGGAAGAACTATAAAGATGGCTAATCTGTGTTGCACTGTTAAAGTGATTGTTAAAAATGTCTTGTGTTCAGAAGAAACTCAAACAAGTTGGACAACTTCACAAGGAGTAAGGGAGTCATTTTTGGGTGAACCGTTGGTAATGAAACCGTTTTCAGAAGTCTGTAGCTATACTCTGCTTATCTTGGGCTTTGACTTGGGCTCTAGATTTGAACAACGGACAAAGTGATGCCACCCTCTATCAACTTCAAAGCTTGGAGGGAGGTGTTAGAGCAGGTGTGCTTGTTAACTTGGAAAATACTCTTCTGTACAACAGTCTTGAATCTCATGCAATTACAAATACTAATATATTTTGTTTTTTTTCTCCTCCGAGCGCTATGGTGTCCCGCTTACCTAGATGTACTGTTCTCCTTAAGGTTTTATGTCCACTCGTTGGCTGCCGTCCACGTTGATGTGGCTCATGCAAGAGTTCTAAGCCCTTCTAGACTTGTTTGACCTTTTTAAATGCTACAACTCGCAGTTGTACCTTCATTTACACAACTCTCAGTATTTCTTTAAAATTAGTTATTTTAATTGTTACAATCCAGTACAGACCAGGGCATAGGAACATTCTCCAGGAGCTGCCTAGATGAGAAGTCCCTCTTGAACCGAAGACTAACCTGTGTCCCTTGTATGTTTACAGCATCTGGCATATTGGTCTCATTACTGGGTCAACTGCTTTAAGGTGAAGGCAGAATAGTTCATTTGGATCATTACTACCAACTGCAACACATCAAATTGCATCTCTGACAAGTTATGAGTTTCTATCTCTCTATTTTTCCAGTTTCTTCAAGAAGCCCTGATGCAAGTAAAAGCACTTTAATCCAAGCCCAGCAGTATCTGGTTGACCATCTGAAGGTAAGAAATTACAGCTTGCACTTTCAATGTGAGCTTTGTTTGACTATTGCAAAACGTCAAAGTTTTTTAGATGGTAACCATGGGGTTTGTAGCGGTCACCTGCTGATTAGCGTGATGTATGTATGTATGTATGTATGTATGTATGTATGTATGGCCAAAGTCTGCCAACACGAAGCTGTAGATAAGGTACCAGCACCTCCCCCCCCCCCCTTCCATGTACTGTTTTTCTGTGCACATCACCATCTTTTTGTTTTTACTGCTGTCTGGCACAGCCATAGCCCTGAAGCTGAAGCCACTCTCTGCTCACCTTTGGCTTGACCAAACTGAATTCTACCACAGGACATGCTGGCACATCCCAGAGCCCACATCAAAACCAGCAAGTTTTGCAAATAACTCCTTTTGAATTTCATGCGAATTAAGGTCAACGTTAACTTCATGTGCCATTGTCATCAGGTCAGCTGGGCATCTTGGAGGAGCTGAATGTGCTGTTATCCTGTACCTTAATGGCAGTCCGCTTGTAGTTGACTTTAACGTGAGATTTATTCAGGTGAATGCTGGAGAGTTCCAAGCTCTTTTTCCATTTGCACTTTCCTTTGGAAATGTGGAGAATGTTTAAGTGGTCTTAACTAATTGAAACCTGAACTATGACTCCTGAATTTAGCAGGATAATACAGCCATGGATCAATGTAGCCTTTGATCAACCGATGTTAGGTATACTAATTGGTAAGGAACCGAACAGAAGGCAGTGTCCGTCACCTGCAGGTGCATATCAAAAGCCAGTTATGCTTGGTTATGTAGCGGTTTGAAATTGGGGAACAAAAGTCTTTGGCAAGGTGCACTTTTAAAAAGCTTTAGGGATGGTTTGTCACTGGTGCATCGAATTTAAGTCAATATTAACAAGGTTAACTTTTTTTTTCAAATTGGTATGTTTCGCCGGGCTGCGAAGAAATATAGAGCTAAGAACATAGGTATAGAACATAATATAGAACAAAGTCTGCCAACACAAAGCTGTAGATAAGGTACCAGCACCCCCCCCTTCCATGTACTGTTTTTCTGTGCACATCACCATCTTTTTGTTTTTACTGCTGTCTGGCACAGCCATAGCGACCAAACCTCTGTGAAGACCTGAGCGTCTACCAGCAAATGTTCTTGGAACAAGGGTGCAGAATAGGCACAATATTGTAGTCCCTTGTCTACACTAATATTAATGCTCTTTAGGCACAGTGCTTTTTGTCCTCTGGATTATTTTTGCTGTACATGCAGGTAATCATGTAGACCCCCCCCTTCCTATTCACAGCTGTCTGGCAATTCCAGAGTCCTAATGTTGGCTTTATTCCAGATGTTACCCCACTCTACACGTCTTTGGTAAAGCCCTGGTCAGTCAAACCAGAGGACACAAACCGCAGGTTTCATTTTCATTTCTTCAGTAATGCCTAAAAATGTTGTATACGCAACAGTACATGTTGATGAGGTTAACATCAACTTAACATCAAAACTAGACTGTCTTCTAGGTGAGCTGGGATTTGGAGTTGGATGTGCTGCTGTCGTGTTCCTTGATTTACCCCCCCCAATAGTCCTTGTCACTGTCAACTTCAGCACTCATCTAGGTAAGCACTCATCTAGATAAGTCATTCTTAATTATAAGCTCTTCTCGCCTCATTTGATCTATGGAAATGTGGAGAGCTTTCTTCAGGAAATTGTCAGCTTTGGCTTGTCTCAATTTGTGCATATTGTTTTCTTTACTGGTTTGAGGCATGTTCCCCACCAGCCTCTGATTAACCAATTTGGTAAGGAGCGGAACATGTTTAGTCTGCCATCTACTGGTTCATTTCCAAAACCGCAAGCGCCGATATCTGATAGATCGTGTACCCCAAACCTAGTGATGAGGCTACTTATTTTTTTTTACACTTGGGTTTAATGCTCATTTACCTTTTTATTTCCCTATATACTTGTATTTATGACTGTCAGGCAAATGGATCTCGTTCATTCTATGGCAGTCCATAGGTGATGGATGAAAGTGACATGTAAAACCATAAACTTGAGGTGTAGCAGTTTACTTTTCAATTGTCAAAGTTACATCAAAATTCATACTTGGGAACGATTCACACTTTTCCAAGCTTGAAATTAAATTGTTTTAAGGAACCATCAAAAGACTGTCTAATAGCAAACCCCTTCAAAAATATTACTTATTAAAATTGTTACTTGCGTGTGCATATTACGTATGAAATTGACTGAAAAGTAATGCGTTATAATTCAATATACAAACATCATGCTCCATATTCAGAAATACTGCTTTTGTTACATATGGGGCCGGGGTATTACAGCCTTAACGGTCTATACTGGAAGCACAACCATTGTCTTTATCACATGTCTGAAGAGTTTCTTAAACGGTTTCTTTACAAAACTTAATTGAAATGTTAACACTCATTGTGTAAACACGTGGCTTGATTGTTGGTTATTCCATCAGCAGATGATTTGTAGTCAGAGGCTCCAAGTCGTTTGGGTCATCTGATAGTTTAGTAGTAATCTGTCATTTATAATGGTTTCAACTTCGCACAAAATTACAGCTGCTTTGGCGCAAAACTAAGCATCTGCTTTTGGCCACTAGGGGGCCCCTAAGAGCACAAAATGATAGGTTTGTTTTTTGGTGATTGTTAAATGGACAAATGGTTGAGGGTAATTATACAAAAACACAATATTAAATCAAAGAAAATATACTAATGGGCAGTAGCAGGGCGTAAACGCAGTCGGACTGTGATTATTGAAGGTGATTAACCAACAATGAACATTACATAAAAACAGTATCTTTTATATAAGATACTGTATCTTGGTTTTATTTGTAGTTGATTGATCTTCACTTTTGTACATTGGTCATTTTTAACTAGAAGCAATTAAAATGGTTAAATTGTTTACAGTAAATGCATTGTCTGCTGGTTTATTCGGCTACTTCAGTACACCAGTATGGCACTTAATACTGTAAGACTTTGAATGTTAAAGTGCAAATTAACAGCTGACCACTCTTGTGGGTTTGCTGCTGTTACAATTTAAAAACCGTAGAAGGGTAAAATGCCAGGCAGACATTGGTATGATGTAAGCAACAAGGCTACAACAAATAAAATTGATAACGTTTGTGTTGGATCTATAGTGTGTGAATGAAGCATTGACTGTAGTCAATCATATTGGTGGCACAGAGAGGTCCCCAAATAAAATTCTGCTTGGGGGGGCCCAATAAAGGCTTGGGCCGTCCCTGACTGGAACTATAGCAAGAATGCATTCACTGTTTTTGGCTCCAGTGTACCCACATGTTTTATGATCTATTGAAGTAGTAGTTCTTGTACTAGTTTTGTTCTCATAACTGCTGGATGTGGAACTGTCCTCCTTTTGAATGTGTATTTTGGAACATTCTTTTTTT